AGAGCTGAAGTCGAAGTTTATATTAAACTATCAAAAATAAATAAATTATTGTTCCACATGATCTACTAACCTGCTGAGAGGATGCACAAATTCAGCAAAGAACCAACATCACATTTTGAGAACTTGCAAGATTTTAACAAGAGTTCATTTAAATTTTACTGCGTAATGATCAAGAAAAACGGATTTAATTAAAATCGCCCTGGAATTTTTCTTTCCAAAAATGTTAGGTGCACTGCATCACGTCTTTAGAGTGCGCATGCGCTAGCACGAATTCATTTTACTAAATTCATATTTAAACTAGCATCTCTGATTCACCGACAAAATTGATGTATCTCTAGCATTAAGTATTGCACCTCTATAACCAAATGCCTGAGATTAAAAGTAATTTGCTGTACCTTTTAAGCTCATACGAAGCTCTTCGGTATCACTGATGCCCTCGTACGGAGTCCACCAATATTTGAAGTGAAAGAGCAATGACAGGCGAGCGCAAGATAAATATTTATCAATTGTACAGGGCATAATTGAATTTTAGCAAGGTCTTCATCATGTAGCAATGTTTTTCGAAACGAAATCATGTTGTTCATAAAACACATTCGTGCAGAACATTTCAGCTGACATGCGAGAATTCCTCGTTAGATGATAGTCTCAATGAGTCGCATGTGATAACAAATATTAATAATATTATTATAATGTTTCATTTTGAAGAACAACTTGACTAGATGTCTTGATTGCTGCAGCGAGTGAGGCCTTCGAATAATAAATGAGTTCAAACTAAAATACGACTTTAGGCGTGTCAGTCCCGTAGATTGTTTACGAATGACCAGTCAAGTGACCCGTTGACCTACTGTATAGTGCGATAAAGCAGTTCATGCCGGCAACACTTTTAATGGCCGACGATTCTTTGATAGGAAACACGAATTAAAAGGGCAGATCAGCGAGCGGTGCCTAACGTACTGTGAAAATGAAAGTGCTGATAATTATCAAGGGCGAAAAATTAGAGGAGCAGGTGGTGAGAACAAAAATTATTTTAAAAGACAACAAGAGTGTACATACTGTGACGATGACCGCCATCCATGTTTCAATACAGTTTATCCATACAGAAAATCACACAATGGATTAAGGTCAACAAGATTTGAAGTCTAGCAACACTAATTCATTCGATTTTTGAAATTTATATGACTGAATGTTGTTTTCAGTGAGTCTACTTAGGATAAGTTTATTCAAGTATTATATGGATAAATGAATATACAATATGTAAAATGTATGTAATAAATGTATAAATATAACAGCTATGACAAGCTTCAAAAGTAGCCTTAGCGGAAGGCTAGGGTTACGTTTATATTCGTTGCATATTTCGCTGCAGCATGTATATTGAGCTACAAAGGGGCGTTGTTTATCATGGTCTGGAATATTTGAGTAGCATCAGAGTCCATACATATTGATTTAATTCAGTAGATCCGTAAATGCATTTTGACAAACAATTCGAAGAAACATTTTTGTGTCATGTTTCTGGGCTTAGTGAAATTGTTTATAATTTCATCCATGCATAGGCAGACTCTAGTCCGGCATCAGGTGGTTTAGCCAGAATTGTGAAATTACCAGTTTTAAATTAGCTGTACGTAGTCGGGATATATGGAAATATAGTATTTTGAGTTTTTATTACATGCATTCCTTGTAAGAGGTAACTAATGAAGTCACTGAAGACCCAAAATGAAGTAGACATTAATATAAAGAGCCGATGAAAAATTCTTCTACAGCTAATTAATAAGACGATAAGGAAGACATTGCAAACCAGTGTCTGATTTATTGCAAAATTACGAATTAAGCATCGATCAATGGACAAATGTTGTACAAGTGACTATCAACATGCAGCTACCATACATTGTAAACAAAAATAGTTAAAAAAGGGTAAAATTACTGATAAGTTACGGTAAATACTGGAAGTAGCGATTAAAATTTTAATGTGGAAGTAGTCTTGTAGTGACAAAAGCTTGACCGTAGAAATGATCAAAGCAAGAAGTATGTCACTGGTCAGCGCGCAGGCGCTAATGAAGGCTACCAGCATATGGCGGGTGACCGCTGCAGGGCCGCGGGCGCCAAGCCTTGATTTATTTCTGCAAGGCATTAGAAGTCAGCTTAGGCTTCGCAATCGAGTCGTAAAAAGTTCCTTACATTTTATTACGCCAGGTTCAGGGAGGGTATGAGCTGTTAGCCATCGTCGTGGGTACAACGTAGCATTATTTAAAGCGGTTGGTGTACGAATATTTTACTCTCACTCTCAGGGACCGGCATGATGTTGGATGAAATAATGAACTGCTTTTGATGATAAATTGGGTAACGAAACGGAAAAATTATATGAGTGAAAAATTGCACATTAGTTAAAATTATGAATTTTGTCAACAATTTTTCAAAAAATAAAAGTAAATAGTAATAATTAAATATATTCGAAGTGAGGTAAAATGAAAATATTTTCTGCGTTGATTCACAACGGATATGACTCACTGGTGAGTAACACCTTGCACCTAGTGATATTTTAATGAACGTTTGTAATGGAAACGAACTGAACATACATGGTAACAAAATTTTATCATTTTTCGAGTAAACCAGGTTTCAAATTAAAATATCAATTTTAATCGGTGAATTCCATGATTAATACGGGCTCCATGAGTTCCTATAGTTTCCCGAAACATGACGTTTCTCCATTTAACGTTTTCCACGAAATGCCAAATACCCCCAAGATCGACCGCTGATCTAAAACGAAGTATGAAAGCCCAGGATGTTTGACGCGACGTTTGATGAGCCGCGGATCAGCCTGATCCGGCACGAAGATGGCAATCGTGTGGGTTTACCGGCCTGTGACACACGTAGCGCAATGCTACACGGAGACCTCGCAAGAAGCTGCGAACGCCGCTCATTCCAGGAAGTAATTTTGCCCTGGCCAAGACCATGACGGAGAAAAAGCAATAAAGAAGGCATCACAGTCGTTGATTCCAATGAAAACTTTAGCGACCTCGACCAAACTTTAGCACTTGTGTCTATCATGTTGAGAAATTTATTTCAGACGGCTCTCTGAGGTGCAATGAGCAGCCAGGACCGCAGCTCAAATCTCGTACATAGAAAAGGAAGAATCTTGAACCGTCTGATGCAAAATTAGCAGCAGGCATTTCCGGGTTAAAGTTTGGAAAGAATATGTAAGAGAACCAGACAAAAATTATATCGCACAGCACGAGCATAGATAAAAAAATTCTCGCAAATATCTAACAAGGAAAAATGCCCTGTAAAAATGATTGATCAAATAAAAAATTAAACGTGTTTTGTTAAGCTGAATTAGAAATAACGTGCCAGAAAGAAAATTCATGTATAACGATATTTCACAGAAAAGTAAACTTAATCGTTGTGCATATTCCATTACGGTTACTTACAGTGCTCGTTCATGATTATACTGTGTCCCGAGTGCTATAGAAGCATGAAACAATTTACTCTTTCGATCAAGACTTCTAAGTTGTAACCTTCAGATAGTTAAAAAAACATCCATGTTTCGTTTCAGGGCTCAAATATCGATGCAATTTGCAGCCTAACCTCAGCATTGCACAAGAAAACAAAACAATCAGGAAATACGATGCCTGAAAAAAAATGTGCTGGACGTTCAACAATTTTGCTTGAGGGCTTGCACAGCGCTGAGTCATGGCTGGTCAACTCCTCCACAGGGCAGGAAGGATGCGAAGCTGCCTTCAATTATACCTTAACTCCATAATGGGCAGCGCCCACATCCCGGCACCATCAGGTGTTTCGCCAGCATTTTGCTCCTTAGGCTGGTGAATGGCAGTGTTTTTACAGGAGGATGCTCATGCCGAATGGCTGCTCGAGCCAGTTTCGTTTCTGGAACTTCTCAAGGCTGAACTTAGATCAGCGGCGTGGCTCGTAAATAAAGCAAAATAAAACGACGTAAAATTATTGTTAGCAAAAAGAGAAAAACGTGTATAGTAAGATGACTGATACGTTAATCGAAAAACTCCTCGAGCCAATTTCGAGAAAATATTCGCCACAAGTTAATGAAACTCTAAAAATTCATTGCTTGATGCCGCTAGCGAAATCTCTCTCAAAAACACTAAGCATTAAATGAAGTGAAGCTGTAACATATTGCATCAATCCCACAAATGGAAGAATTTTCACCGTAGAACAGACTCGGGGTCTCAGAGAATTTCACAGACTGAAGATTATAAAGCCACCTATTTCATATTGTTGCTCAGTCAGTAATAAAAGATGTCAACCGAAAGGTATGATGCCTGCTATTTACTGTCTATAATGATTGTTCAAGCACACCCACTAGCGTTTGCTCCATTTTATCATTAGTTCCATGGAAAAAAAATCTGCTTCAACACTCCATTGATCCGCACCAAGAAGGGAATCATATCAGGAATCTCATACGACCTTCATGATATTCTGCTGCACGGACAGTGGATGTGCAACGCACTATTGTTGTGATACCAAAGATAATTCAATCGCGATTTTGACTCATGAAAATTACAAACATGAATTAAAACAATTTTAGTATGGCGCAAGTAAAATAAGCACAATTGGTCAAGCAAGAAGCAGTTATGTCATCGTGGAATTCGATAGAAAGGCAGCGGCTGCAAAATTTTTCTATAGGAAATCCTAAATGATTCACGCCTTACAATGGCGATGACAACGTGCTTCTGAATTAGTAGAAATAAAAAATTTACGCATCGCTTCCCGTATTACCCACGTAAGAAAAACCCCGATGAATTTACATTCCTCAAGTTCCCAAGAAAAAAAAATTATATTTCCAGCTGCACAACAAAAAAAATACGTACTGAAATGAATAAATAAGTCTATAAATTTGAACAAAATAATAAGATTTAAACTAAATAACAAATGCTGCATCAGTATCCGAATTGTGGAACAAGGTTCCAGGCAACCACCAAAATTTTTTATCGAACCAAAATTTTTTATTTACCAAAATTATCACTGTTTCTTACCTTCTGGCCCAGAAGTCTGGTCCTACAGAAATGGTGGTCGCGTTGGCATATTCCGCTTTACGTTGTTCAGGAGTCTCTAAGTATTGAGGAGCAGTGTCGGTTTTAGCAAGGAACTGATGCAAAGGCTTGGTGATAGGCTGGTGGTGGTTGTTGTTGTGTGGTGATATTTGACCCGAAGGGTAATTGTTAGGTAACGAGCGCTGAGGTTGGTATTTAGAGTACTGAGGCATCAAGCCTTGAACTATATTATGATTTTTGGCATCCATCATACAGGATCACGTTTACTAATCACTCACAAATTATGTTTTTAAAATTCTAGGTTTTGATCAAACGCCCATTAAAATGGGTACGAAAAGCGTTTCGAAGTTTCCTCTTTACATTGTAACTCACTTGTTTATTACGACGGTAATAGGTTCAAACATTAAAATATATTTACACTATGGACAATTAATATCACTTAAGATACTGTTAGTGAAGACATAATTGCACATTTAAAGCGGTTAAAAATGTAATGCAGTCACGACGCGATACTCCTTGGGTCAGTTCTGAGAAGGCCAGACGTACAAATGCTACAACCACCCTCTACGAGCGCTCGGGCAACACTGACGTTACGGAGGACCAAACAGTACATCGGAGCGGCAGGCTCAGTCCGCAGTCGGACGCAGCTTGAGTAACTTACGTCCCGCATCTCCTCGAGCTAACGGAGGGGAATAGTTCACTTGTTCTTACTTGATCTCTGTTCTTATGTAATGTAGTAGGGAAAACAACTTTAAAATAATAACAGCTGCTATTACTTGTGGTTCATATGCATATGTACAGAAACTCGACCATGCTCCAATTTATTAATGGAAATTAGCCTTGGAGACGAAATTACTGCAGCATAGGTATGAACAATTTACTTGCAATTCCAACTGTATTCCATTGCTTATTTGCTGTTAATAATACAGAAAATATCTATCATAACATATTTCAAAACATAACTAAAGAAGCCCCGCAAGACGAATATCCATGCATTAAAATACGAGTAGTACCGTTCGTATCTCATCAATGACGCTATGAACTTTCAGTCTATTTGGGGGAAATAATAAATTAGGTAAGGCTTAGTTAAAAGCAGAGCGATGGTGTGTGCATGCAAAGAAGCTTAATTGCGAGTCGTGATTCTGCTACTGCTGATCCTGAGAATTTGCTGATACTGATAACAATGCGTTATGATAAATATCAGTACTGACTATCATAATTGATGAATTATACTGATAATAATTAGTACTGGTTATTTATGCTGATAATTATCATTACTCATTTCTCATACTGCTAAATACCATGATATTTACTTATACTATCAACACTGATTATTAAAAACACCTACTGACAAAAAACACTAATACTGATGACCCTGATACTGATACTGATAAAATAACACTGATTAATAAATAACCAGAATATCGCCTGCTCAGAATATTGCCTGCTCAGAGTATTGCCTGCTCAGAGTATTGCCTGCTCAGAATATAGCCTACTCAGAGTATTGCCTGCTCAGAATATAGCCTGCTCAGAATGTTGCCTGCTCAGAATATAGCCTGCTCAGAGTATTGCCGGCTAAGAGTATTGCCTGCTCAGAATATAGCCAGCTCAGAATATTGCCTTCTCAGAATATAGCCTGCTCAGAGTATTGCCTGCTCAGAGTATTACCTGCTCAGAGTATTGCCTGCTCAGAGTATTGCCTGCTCAGAGTATTGCCTGCTCAGAGTATTGCCTGCTCAGAGTATTGCCTACTCAGAGTATTGCCTGCTCAGAGTATTGCCTGCTCCGAATATTGCCTGCTTAGAGTATTGTCTGCTCAGAGTATTGCCTGCTCAGAATATTGCCTGCTCAGAGTATTGCCTGCTCAGAATATTGCCTGCTTAGAGTATTGCCTGCTCAGAGTATTGCCTGCTCAGAGTATTGTCTGCTCAGAATATTGCCTGCTCAGAGTATTGCCTGATCAGAGTATTGCCTGCTCAGAGCATTGGTCTGAGACAACAACATTGCCACGTAGATAGAGAAAAAATTAGTAAGACTGAGAACAATTTGCTCATCGTGATCACGTATACTCATCTTCATCATGATAGCGGGAAATTTCGATTACTGATAATAAAACAAGAAGAATCTCTACAAATGATAGATATTCGTCGTGGAAAATTTCAGCTTTAACCGCAGACATTATACATTATTATAGATATGAAATATTCTGATTCAAGCTCCATACCATAAATCCACGGAATCTGCACTTCACGTTTGATTTATTGACCTTAGAGCCGTTTTCCTGACGGGGCTCACGATTATGTCGATTAGTCAATTCCACCCCTGGATTATTTATTACGTCATTGTGAATTATTAATGTATGTTGCGAAAGAATTTATTTTGTAGCCTTTCATAGAAAACTGGAAACGATATCATTGAACTATGTTGATATAACTAATCATCGTATTAGCTATCAATGTGTGGTTTTGTATGACATTCTACAGATATTATTTTATGTTTTTTCTTAATTTAAAATAATATGGATTCATATATCTGTAAATTTTCGTATGAAATTTCCCTACTCCTGCTGAATGAATATGACCGTAATTAGCAAATTAGCGATCGAAGAGTCAACCATTGAGAAAGCAAAATGAAATCAAGCACTAACGAGGCCTCTCGACTCAAAATAACGCTATGAATTAGTGAAATATTAGAAAAAAATAAAAGGAATATTTAAAATAAAATGATCATTTATAACCATCACATGAATATATTTTATTAATTAATATTAACTTGTACGCTCTTTGATTTTTTCTGGCATATAGGCCTGCGAAAACTCCAAAAAATAAAATATTTAGTCCGCTGGCACCAGACTTGTAAAGGAAATATCAAATATCACGTATTATGCACATAATTATTCATATTAATTTATTTAAAAAAATGTGCTCTGATATTATTCATCATGTAAGAAACAGGTTAGCGATTAAATTTGCCCTCAACACAAGCGGCATCCGAATGTCCCAGTAGGGAGATTATCGCCTTCGTTTAACTCGTACAGTTATATGGTGTATATACACTAATGAAACAAGTAACTTTTTCGATTATTCGTTACTAAATTGTTCAGACTTGATTTATTTTCTGTTCAATCAGATTCATTTTTTTGTAATATATGCGTAATAATCAATGTAGCAATATTATATTATAAAGAAGAGTGTCAAAATCAATAATCATCACGCTCACCAGACTCCTATCATCAACATCGAAGTAGTTAGAATTTCCATCGTGTGCCGCGACGCAATGCCGTCCCTTGAAAGAAAAATTTAGTTAAAACTTATGAAAACTCTAAATTAATTCTCAAAGATTGGTGTTATCAGGCGTCTTAGTCGCTAATTTACTAAAATATCACAATGGAGATTAATGGCACACTTGATCCATGCAATTTACGCGCTATAAAATGAGATAAACGTGGCTTGTGAGAAGTGTAATTCAGGAGGTAGTTTCAGTTCACCAGAATATATTATTCACAGAGGGTCTTAAATTAGGGAGAAATGATATCATCGTAATTTTTAGAGAATTGAAATCATTCGATGATGGAGAATTGCGAAGCAGATAACAAAAATTAACAGCTTCTACCTTAATCCATGATTTCCAAAGGAAAAGTGAGATTTGCAACTTCTCTTGCACTTTATCAAGAACAATATTCTCTTATAATTGGTCATTCTCTACTACAAACTAGTACAGGATTGACACGTTTTTGATCATTCTCTGTAGTACCTGATAATAATGCAAGCAATAAGTGTTTAAAAATGTATTCTTGCTGCTGTTTGGATTTCATGGCAGGAAAAAATGTAGAACTGACACTGGTTGCTCTTGAACTCACATTCACTGGCAGAAAAATCTCAGGTACATGCATGTCTCACCCTCTATCCTGAAAATTGTTCATCATGAACATTTCAATGTTCAAAACTTTTTCAGCTCATCATAAACCAAAAGGAAATTCGCATACATAATTTTTTTAATTTTCTACATAGTTCTCAATTTACACAGGCGGTAAATACCGGATGTTTGGAAGTTTCACAAACTTCACATTAAATCCATTATTAACGCTCCAAAATTAACTAGCACAAGTTCAGATTATTTTCAAAATATGAAAATTTAGTTCAAATACCAAAGAATATCGTGTTGCTATAGCTACCTTGCTCGTGGTGCAACACTGAACGATATAAAGATGAAAAGCTCGAGTCGTTTCACGAGTTTTGCAAGCCATAAAACGCATGCGAAGTCAATGTTGACTTAAGCTCAGCCGTCGTGTTTCACTGTAATTTTGCATTTAGAAGCTGTGTTTCTTTTCGACTCACGAGTCCTGAGTAAACTGGATGGCTTACGAGACCGAGACTCCGGCGCTCAGCGTAAAGTACAGCCGAATCATAGCCGCGGTGCCGGCTTTACCTTCGTCCATCACGTGATGTTATATATAAAAAATATAGAATATATTGAACCAATTTAGTTCATGTAATTCAAGCAAGGGTTGAGACCAGGCAGCACCAGCTAAGGAACCAATAGAAAAATACTTCAAGCCAATGAGCGAACGATTTTTAAGATTTATTCCAACAAACAGGAAGGTTCTTCTGAAAACAATAACCGACGAAATTGAAGGAAAAAAACAATGAAACATGAAGAAAGCGTCGATCTAGACCGGATTATTGATAAGCTTTTAGAGAGAGTGAGATTCAATATCAGTCACAAAGGGACCCGCTGTGGAGATCTAAGTGTACCGATCATTGACTTGTCGCGAGGTACGGCGCTAATCTTAGCTCCAATTCACTGCTGTGTTCAATACAAGCCGACGCTATCAAAAGCGCTTGTGGCACTTGAAATGTCAACGCCGTGTTGTTAAACAGGCCTTAGACTTTGTAGGAATTGTCGGGGAGTTTAGAACGGCAAACTGTTGTCTGTGTAGCGGCCGGAAGTAACATGTTCCGATGATTAATCATATTCAGTGGTATGTATTTTATAACAGGAAAGAGCAAGATATCGATGATAGTGTAAAGATGATAGTATGTTACAAGATACATGAATGAGGAACCGTATAGAGGTAAATGAACATCACTTCATTATATAGGTTATTTTGATTATACGTCTGTAATTGATTCTGTAATATAATACAATTACCCGCTACTAAACTTCCGTCAACAAGTAACCTGGAACACATTTTTCATTACTTTTCTTGATATTTTCTAAGTGCAGTAAGTCAAGATTCATAATCGTAGGAAGTGGTGGCTGTGCTACAGGAGAAATATACCGAAGAAAGTCTTTACTACGAATTGGGTATCTCAGACTAGAAAATTTTTTGTATAATTTGCAGGTTAGATTCATTCTTCGCCTCATGTTAACACTCCACGGGCAAAACTTGTAAAATTCATGTATTTAGAGTCGTTGCTTTTAGTAAATGGTTTATTTATTTAGAGTCACTGATAATACTGAATAATTTTTTCCACTTATAGTCTGTTTATTTATTTATTTATTTATCATATAGAGTATTATTCATTAATATACAAAATCTGGTCAATATTTCATTCAAGACTCTAAAAAA